GTGTTGTTCTTATTCTTTTACCCATTACATTGTGAAGGCTTTTCTTATTGTGTTTGTTTTATATTTTTGTCTTGTTTTGGTTTTGTTTTTTTATTCTTCACCCATTACGTTGTGAAGGCTCTCTTTTATTGTTTTTCTATTATATTTTAGTTTGTTTTATCCTTCATCTACTATGTTGTGAAGGCCTTCTTTTTGGTAATTTGGTTATATTTTTGTTTGGTTTTTATTCCTTTACCCATTACATTGTGTAAGCCCTTTTTTTTATTATGTTTAGTTATATTGCTTTATTATCATTCTTGAGTATTCTCTTTTAGATTTCTTGTGTTTTATCCCATATTTTGGTTTAGTTCTTGTATTAGTTTATTCTGTTCTCCTATACATTCCTTACCCTCTACACATTAAGTCAAGTAATATAGTTAACCGACCTAGGTTTTCTATATTACAATATATTTAAATCAACTTCAAAATCAACAAAACTCTTGTTATCAACCAAAAATTGGCCAAGTTGATTTAAGCGAGTTTCGATAAAAGGAAATATAGGTTCTTTTTCTTTTTGAAAAAAATCTAGAGTCAAAACAAGAAACTGTATATTAATAGTAATAAACTGCAAAAAAATTTAAATAAGGCTATTCGATTGAATATTCTCAAACGTAGCGGCAATTTCATTAACAGATGTAGAAGGATTCTCAATTGCTTCTAGTTGATAGAATGTACAAATCAAATTCAAATACTTATTAACATAAAAGACCATTCGGAACCAAGAATTCTAACATGTTTCAGATAGGAGTGGAACTTTTTTTGGCATGACAACTTCATTACACTAAAGATAATACATATAATGACCTTGTCGTGCTTTTGTATATACTAGTATTTGTTTAATATTATTAATAAATGTTCTTACTATGTTAAATTTTTCAATAGAAATCCAAGCCTCTCCAATTAGATTCATAATATGTGTTAAACACATGCTATGCATTAATTGTGGTAAAAGTGGTTTTAAAATTTCGTGACAACACTTTTTCATATATGTGGCAGAGTCTGAAACAATAAGACAGAAATACTCAAAAGGTATAGACCATTGAACCAATGTTTGAATAATTAATTCGCCAATTGTTCTATTATTAACTTGAGTCAAAAAGCCTACTTCGACTAATTTAGTTATATCATGGTAAGAAAAAAGAATATTTACAATGCTACGAGCACATGAATTGGATGTCTCATCAACAATTATTAATACTTTTTTATTTTTAAAGAAATTTTTAAGATCTGTCATACTCTTCTCAAAGATGATAGGCAAATAGTCTCTTTGTAATGTATCTGCAGCTGGTATTACACCTCCTTCTCTAACATTTTCTCTAATCCAAGATCATAATTTATTAGCCTTTTCAAGTGGAATATTTGCTTTGACTAATGCTTTTACAAATGCAATAACAATGCCTTTTTTAAATTCAGCAGCTTGTATAGTTGTTGTAAGTGTTAATTGCCATGTCAGGTTTGTATGTTCCGTAGCTGCTTTTTTTGCTTATGACCTTTACTTTCAAAATGTGCCATTATTTTTGAACAAATAGTGTAATCAACACTATAATGGCAAAATCTACACATAAATTTGTTATTATCTCTATAAAAATGATCATTAAATTCAAGTACTCTACTGTTCAATGTAATTCTTTTTAGACCCATTTTAAAAAATGTTTTTTTTCTTAAAGACGAATGCATTTATTTTATGCTTTATTAATATGCTTTTTTACATTTTAACATACTACTAAAAATTTATTTTGCATTTTAACATACTATTAAAAATTGATTTATGAGAAATTTATCTCGTAATTTACTTTATACTTTGACATATTAAAAATTTATTTCGCACTTTTTACACTTCAACATACTACGAGAAATATATCTCATAATTTATTTTACACTTTGACATACTTAAAATTAATTTCGCACTTTAATATATTACTAGAAATTTTTATTTCACATACTACTAAAAATTAATTTTTCTCACTTGAACGTACCACTATACTATTAGCTCGTTCAGTTTATTATAATCAGTTTTTAAAATAGTCAAATATACAGATCGGTAACATTTATAAAGCGAATACATCTGATATTAAAATTACGTAAAATTATGCGATTTAGTGCGATTTGGTTTAATCACACCAAATCACACGATTTCCGTGTCCCTGGTACGAACAACGGTATATTATCAATCTCCTATTTAAAGCCGGTTTTAATACTCACCGGAGAGAAATACTGGTGAAATTCACTGGAGATGTTATATCTCAAAAGTGTACTAAGTAAATGGGATCGGGTATTCTAAGTAAAAATGTTCAGGACTCTCGAAAACCTGAAATCGGGACCTTGTATCAAATTTACATTATGTTATATAAAACTTCTCTTTTATCTTAAAACTGCACCCTAATTCTAAAAATTCCTAGGCTGGTTGAATTTCACCTCTAGTTAAGTCTAAATTATTTCTATTTTTAAAAAACAAGTTTAAATTTGACAGTATTTTAAAAACTACTTGTTATAAAACATCTTATTTAAATACACGTACAATATATACGTATTTTAAAAAATTATTATTTAAATTTATTAATTTTAAACCTAATATGCATAATATATATATATATAGTATATATATATAAATACGTATTACATTTTTTTGCTAAATTTTACCGATCGTGAGATATTCAATTAGCATACCTTCGATGACATGAACTCTAAAGTTTCAGTGGTAAATAGCACATATGCGTATGTTTTTATCATATAGAATGTTAGGTTTCCACGGAAAGCAATTCATGTAATTGGAACTTTCATCCTGTTATCTTCCAATTCCCAACAATTCCCACTGGACCATTCAAACGGATCATCATGACTAATGCACATGTAAGTGTAAAACGTTTCGTACCAATAATTTCCATAGCTGACTGTACTTAATTGATTAATCTCAATTAAATTTTAAATCCTATATTGGTGTAATCGTATAAATTTGGATGCTATATATCTAATAATTATTGCTAAAACTTACTGATACTGTATTCTTTTCGAATAATCAGTTAAAATGTACTATTCGGATATTCGCCAAAAGACTAAAGACCTCAACTCTAATCGTCCTAAATCAATTCTATCACTAGCTAACAAAATATGAAATTAACAAGTCAAACTTACAAATCAAAAGCATTTAATACTTAATATTCGATGAAAAAATTTATTCAATAAGCACTATTATTCGGGGATAATATCGATGTGAAGAAACCAATGACCAGGTAATCAGATTCCCACGTGATACATAATTCAATTTATTCGAATATACTGTACGTACGTACGTCTATTACAAATTTTTTTTATCTGTTATTCTATACCGGATTATGCCTAGAATTGAAATACAAAAATACTAGAGTTAGGAATGATAAAACGACTTAAACCAAATTTAAACCGGTACCATCATAAAAAGGAAATTTACGTTAAACCGCGATATTTATTTCTTTTTTGATGTCATGTATGTAAATAATTTAATATTCCGTTTTTCCATTCCCATTTTTGTTGATCTCAACCACTTTTATGGAAACAAGATTGTTAAATAAATAGTGTATAATACAAAAAGTTGAATAATTGAGACAAGATTATAATATATAAATATAAATTAAACTCAATAATTGGATAACAAAAATGCAAACAATTCTAAACGTGAAATTAATAAAATATAATAAATAAAAATGGTTGAGATTAATAAATGATGACAAAATGGAATTGTTTGTAATGTATACATAATAAATATACGCAAAAAATGGGTGAAATTACGCATGCATATTGTTCTCTTGACAATTATTGTATCGTTTTTTTTTTCAAGTCCATCCGGATTAAATATTCGAGCAAAGTTAACTCATATTAACAAAAGCGAGTCCGGTCTAACAAATATACCGTGATCAGGTTCAGCCGTGAAATACTTTCTACTAGCTACTACACCATTATTTTTACCGACTGTAGAAAAAAGAAAAAAGAAAAATCAGAAACAGCTAAACATAACATTGAATAATTGGAGTCTAGAGCTTACCAGGATTATCTAATTCTACACCCACCCAGATTCCTTTAGCAAAATCTGTTTCACCTAAGAATTGTATACATCCTGGAGCATTGTTCTTTGTTGGAAGTATTATACGCCTTCCAACAGAAATATCTGCAGAAGGATTAGTAGCCAATTTAAGTTGATGTGGTTTAGGTTGCAAACTGGTAATGATTCCATTTGAGCTAGATGTAGCTGAAATAGATGAAATTACGGATGGAGAACGGTTCCGTTTGTGATGAGAAGAGGAGGTTGTTGTGACTGACGAAGTCGAAGCAATCGAACTAGCTCTAGAAGATTTTGGTGTAATATCTCGTTCCCGCTCACGACCTCGTCGTTGTTGAACATCGTCATACTTCATTTGTCTTAACATACTAGCACGAGTTTGTCGTACACCATTAAATCGTGATGGCGACACAGATGGTGAATTAACTGATTTTGCAGAAGAAATTGAACTTGTACGCGACGAGGCAGTAGATGTTGCTTGTTTAGTAGTAGTACGTCCTCTTTGTGTAACAGAAGATGTCTTGGGGACTCGAAGATTAGATGAAGATGAAGAATTCCGTAGAGTGCGATCAGTTTTATTATTCGTAGTGGCCGACGTTGTTGTTTTGGTTGTTTTTGTAGTCGATGTTGAACCTGCTGATGCAGACTTCGGCGTTGACGTACTTTTAATTCTTGGTTTTACGGGATTTTTTGCTGAAGATTCTGCCAATGCTTTCTGACGTAAAACACTAGCACGAGTTGGTCGATCCCATACAGGCGTGTCACCAACAATACGCACATTTTTGACTTTTTTAGTAACAGTCCGTGTAGTTTTTGTAGTTTCATTACCTTTTGATGATGACTCAGCTGAAGATTTGGTATCATTAGGGGTTACAATTTCTGGAATCGGCTTCGTAGTCTGACTGGTAGCATTTTCTGTTGATTCCGCTGACGCCGTTGTAACTGTAACTTTTGGAGGAGGTGACACCAAGCCCTTTTTAGATAATCCATTTGTTGCGCTGGGTGTTCTGGTTTTTGGTTTTGGAGGTTGAACTTGGGTTGGAACTTGTTTCGAATCAACAAGTGATTGTAACTCGTTTCGGTCCACATTTAGCTCTTATTTTTTTAAATAAATAAATAAACATATTGATTCGCAAATATTTTCTTTAAGATAGCTAACATTCGCAGAAATAAAACCTTACCTTTCACAAATTCATCTAATAACATCGGACTAAGCAGTCTGAAACCACCATACTGTTTCACTCCTAACCAACGTTTTTTCATATAATTAAAAACATTTTGTTTTGACTGCATAAGTAATCGTTTTGCTTCTACGTTTTCCGCACTCGAAACAGCAGGCCTTGGTAATAATTTTCCAGTAATGCATTTGAGAATACGTGCAGAATTTTGTTCCGTCAAACTTTCTTCAACTATTATATTCATAATGTCCTCTAAAATATCTGAGCTAAATCCAACACCATCCACGCAATTTAAAAATTCTTGATCTTCATCACAAAGTTGCTCGAAATTATCAACTAAAATTTTGGCTGCATATGATCTAACTTCGTTAGTCATACGGCGAACAGTCTCTATCCAAGGCAGACCTATTCCTTTTATGTCAATTACAGAAATAATATTTCGGCACCCTTTGAAGGTAGAAATAACATTATTTCTTTGGATACTTGCAAGTAATATCATAAGAATTTCCTCTCTGGTGTCCTCATCAAGATTTGCAAATTCTTTATTAGGCCACATGCTGTCAAATCCCTGAGATAAAGCATGTAGACATCCTTGCCATAATTTGTCAACATCGTGTTCTTTAGCAAATGCAGCTACCCTAGGTACAACAATTTGACATTCACCACAAGTACATTTAAAAAAATGTACTTTCGTTGCGATACGATAAATACATTCTTCACAAAGGTTTTTTATATTTAAAAAGTCCGCCCCAATCCAAACCCATTCACAAGTTTCTAAAGTTAAAGGTTTTGAAGAAGATGAAAGATTACCGGTATAAATGAAAGTAAGAATCAAATTGATTGAAGTTTGATTAAAAATTGATGCATCAAGACTGATAGCGGAATTACGTGCTTCAATAAAATCAGAACTAAGCATTTTTTTGAAATATTCAGACCTTGAAGATAACATAAAACGATGAGCTCTAATTACTATGGGCTTGAAAACTCCTTCATCTTCTTCTTCATCAACAATTTCAATGTCATCCTCCATAAATTCTAATGTCAACTCGACATCAGTATATAATTTTGATTTAAGCATATATAATAAATCATCTTTTAGTTTGTCCTGCTCGAGCTCATCTGTAGTATCAACAGCTTGTAAAAAATCTTCACTGCCTTCTTCAGCAGTGTAAAAAAATTTTAATTCTTGTCTAAATAAGAATGGATCCGCATCAGTCTTCACCGTAACCGGATCCGTATTGGATAACCGCACGGACCGTATAGACATTCCATTCGCATCTTTATTTTTCAGAAAACGTTCTTGAAATGATCGTGAGCTTCGAGCATATAAAATGGCTAGACATTAAATAAAGGCAAGATGGTTAGTTGAATATTTGGTTTAAACATATACATATATTAGAATTAATTTTATTAAATAAAATTTTTTTTTTTGCCAAATTTGCCGAGACAAAAAATATATGGAATGTCAATGTCTCAAGTTCTTTCGAAACAAATACACTAGTCAGAGTGACGGTATAGTAAAAAATATGTAAATAGAGCGATACCTTTGTGAGCATAGATGGTAGTCGGAGTAGGCGCTAAAGTGAACTCCCATGCTATATCAGCATATAACTCTCTTGCATGCTCAAGCGCGTATCTTAAGTCGTCAACCAAACTATCTTTTGGTCGAGTGGTGAAATCTAAACCTTCAGGCAGAGTCAAGCCTTTCTTTTTCTCCGAAGGCATGGATTGACAAAAATTACTGCATAGAACGAGTGAAAAGTTGAATTTAAGAATGTGTTTCAAACTATATCATACGAATTCGAAAGATAATAACTTTAGGGTTTGAAGAGGATTCTATGCTTTGTTTATCGTCAAAAGACGGCTGCAAGTCACTCTTTTCCTTTTCCTGCACTCATGTCTACAAATAAGGGAACTTAAATTTTTTTGTCAGACATGCATGGAACAACCACCCACTATTATCAGGGCAAATCTAAATTTACATTCGTTATCAATTAATCAACATAAATGTTTAAACCAACAGCCTGGAATATCCTGCTATTTGGTTCTATAAACAAAAATTGAAGACTTAAATATAGTTAATATAGTTAATATATATATGCATAAACGCTCCAGTGATTTTTAGAGAAAGCATTTACTTTGATCTTAAGTTTATATTGTTGCGTAGTTATATATTTAGTATATATGTATTTTATTAGTAACTTACTTTGTTTTGCGAAAGTGATAGAATTAAAAATTAATGAAACTTAACTTGCATAATCAATTCGTTACAATATTCCTTTAAACTTTTTACTAAATAAACGCGGTATTTTCTATGGGTATGATGTGTAACAGACTTTGTTAATAAAAACTTGCCTCCGAAGTACTACCCCGCAACACGTTATTGTCGCCAGTAATAGGTCCCTTAATTCGGATCCGAATCCGGATCCGTTTATGCAACGAGTTTAAAAGGCTACGGCTACAGGCATATACGTACAGTATAAAAGACGTTTTTTATACCTACTAAAAATATCGGGTTTAATTGTAGTTACACGTGGCTCTCGATATAACGGACCATCGATATAACGGAAATTGCTTAATACGGAGAATTATAATGGAACCAAATTATAATTTACTGTAATATATATTTGTTAGACGTATCATGAGATTTTGATATTATGGAGCTTTTGATATAACGATGCAAAGGACTGGAACCATGCATGGCCTCCGTTATATCGAGAGCACGTGTATTCTCATAGTAGGCACGTGACTTATAAACTGAGAAAAGTTTTCTTAATCGGTTAACAGAACCGAATTATTTCATTCAACCGATTACCAACCGGTTAAGATTAATATGTTAATTTATTTTCTTGGAACTTTTCGGATTCTTTACTCTCTCTACGTTATTTTGACATTGGCAAAAAAAATTCGGGTCATGTGACGATCTGCAGTAAATTAGCCAATAACGATCTCCGATTTGGTGTAACGTTACGCGATCAGGAAAATTCAAACCAAATGTTAGCTCTAAAGAAAATTACTTATTTCTTGACAAACTTTATAAAAAAACAACCTTTTGCATACTAATAAAAATGCCAAGAAGGTAATTTTACCTATAGCACTTATTTACTCTAACCCTGATTTTAACCCTAAATAAACTTAAAGATTTTTATCAGTTATCATATAATCTAAACTTTTTTTATCATAGCTAGAGTACTCAACATTTCTTATATATATTGATTCTACCAACTGGTTGTATTAGGTCAACCAATTAAAAATTTTCTCAACTAGCTACTCAAAATTTATAAATTAAATCCAAATATAGTTAGTTTTAGAATTATTGTAAATTTAAAGCAAAATTATATAAAACTTATTTTTTTATTAAATTTTTTTTTTTTAATCTTAAACAGTCAGTATTGAAATATAAATACTGTATAAACATGGACTATTCATAGATATAGAGAAGACAATAGAGTGTTTAATATCTATAAATATAAACATGGACTGTTTATGTTCACATGTAAACAGATATTTAGAATAATACTAAAAGAGTATCCATAAATAACGTTATGCTAAAAGGGGGGTGGGTTTATTGATATATAATAAATTTTTTAATATATTAAGAGAGAAGGTTAAAAAATAATAATGCAATTATTATATATAGAGTTTAGTTAGCTCCAATAGATAGAGATGTTACCCGGGTCAGAAATTTTGGCTTGAGTCAATAAGATTCGGGTCAGATATTGACCCGGGTCATGAATCGGGTCAACCGAGTTATCCAATTAAATTACCTCACGTGACAATCGATTATTACTGGCCAATTAGATAATGACACATAGAAATACGTTTAACAAATTTGTACTTATTATTAAACGTAAAATAGATAGTAGACTTCTTTTACTATTTAAATTTCATAAAAAACTCTGTAGACAGAGTGTGTGGTGTGTAAAAGGAGTTCGGGTCAGACTTCTCTTAGCATGTGACTTTTTTTTTTTTGTTTCAGGTAAATTTAACTTTTTTCATAAACCTTTATAGCAGTATAGTTAGTAATTTCCAGCGGCTTTTTGAACGATCAAGCCTTGAGTATAATAAACGATATATATTACCTGAAAAGTACATATATAATTCTTTTTGAATCATTGTGATCAAATTTTGTCATTTACACTTTTTTTCATACATAGTACTGTAATCAACCTAAAAAATAAAGCAGATACAAGTTCTTCTAGGCCTTTCATCTGGAATTAGAAGCTAGTGACATTATTTTTTTTACTTTTATTAATAAAAAGGTGATGAGAACTTAAAATTTTTAATTTTGTAATTTTTGTAGTTAAGAGATATTTATTCATACTATTTCATTACCTTTAGAAAGCTAACTGCCTGAATCGAACAAATACAGTTTTATACCATCTAAATGAATAATCATACTAATAAATAACGAAGAGTATTATAATAAGAGTAATAAAGGGGATTGCGATAAGAATAATAAATGGTATTATGATGAGAATAACGAAGGGTATTATGATAAGAATAATAAAGGGTATTACAATGGGAATAATGAAGGGAATAACGAAGAGTATAATTATCATGACATAGAGTTAGAATATATAAATACTAACTTGGAGTTGGCGAAAGGAAATACCAGTTTAGAAATAGAGCACATAGAAGTGGAATCTAATAGTTATCTAGCTAGAACAGATAGTTCGAATCTTAGTGAGGTTTCATAGTTATCTACAATTCAGCGTAAAAAAAGAGCTGAAAAATAAGGAGGTAGTCCTGTTAAACCTTTTTATGAGGTAGTGTTAGTTAATAATGTAAAATATTGGGCTTGTCGTCACAAAAGCTGTTCACGAACAAAATACAAAAAAGACAGCACTACATCAAATTTATGGAGACATTTGAGAAGCAAACATTACATTTCAAGAGCGATGGTGAAAAGTAAACAGGTAAAAATAGAAAAAAAAGATGGGAACAAGTGTGAATTTCATATTATGGCGGAATCCTCATAAGGAACATTAGTAGCAAAGCAGCGAAATATTCATTCAATCATCTAAAGCAAAAAAACTCAACAGTAATCTTGCTGCTTTTATTGTTGAAGAACTCTAGCCCTTTTCAATCCTAAGATCACAAACTTTAATAAAAATAATAGAGGATCTGGACTCTCAAGCTAGCGTTTTAAGCAAAGATCAGTTGAAAGAAATTTTGATCAACGCTGAGGATAGAGTTATGCAAAGTATGCGTGAACATGCACATGATGACAATGAAATTTGTTACATCTCATTTACCACTGATATGTGGACTTCTGATAACGATAATCCGTACATTGGACTTATATTTCATTGGGTAAATGGAGACTTTCAAAGTGCGAGAAATGGTTGGTAAGATTTCATACCTCCTATACCTCCATACAACAGAGCGACTTGCAAACAAAATTATTGAAATTTTGAACAAATTTCAGCTTATAAGTAAAGTTGTGTGTTGCATGGCTGATAATGGTGCAAACATTAAGTCATGTTTAAGAAAGTTAGAGGATAGGTATAATATATTCAAAAATTTTTGTTTTGGTTATACTTTAAATCTTGTAGTCAATGATGCGTTAAAGAAATGCCCTGAAATTATCAATATTATAAAGAAATGCAAGGATATTGTATCACATTTCAGCGGAAGCCCAAAACAAAAACAGTTTTTATTAACAGCTCAGATAGCAATGGATGATTGTGATAGGTTGCTTTCTGTAGTTCATGATGTTTCAACACGTTGGAACTTGACGTTTTACTTGTTAAAACAATTAATTATTCTTAAACTGGCGCTATATAGGTATAAATCTTTTTTAGTTTAAGATAATGAGAGTAGTTCATTAAAAAGCTACGAGGAAAAAAACTGTTATCTAAAGAGTAGGGAAAAATAGACGGGTTAGTTGAACTATTGTATTCATATGAGATTATTTTAACGCAATTATCTGGTTCACAGTATCTAACACTTTCGCAAGCTTGGTTTGTGATTAATTATATTAATAGATAACATATTGATACCTAATATTGAAGTTAAAAATTTTGGAAAATATCTTCTTGAATCAATTCAAACACGGTTTTCAGAACCGACCCAATTAATTCGACTTGCTGCCTTTTTTGACCCTCGAACTAAAGACATGCAAATTTTTACAAATGATGAAAAACGGCACACTATTTTGAAAGCATGTATGGAGTATGATAAACTGGCCTCAAATGATGAATTTAAAGAGAGTCAATCAAATTCTTTAATGTCTAATAATATTGAAGAGAATATTTTTTCTATTTTAGTGCCCACTTGCTCTCAACCAAGCTAAAAAGACAGCAACAATGAATTCGATTCATACTTACTATTACCAAGGGCCCCAAGCAAAACGAATATACTTCAATAGTGGGTATCAAGAAAAGCTGAATATTCAGTACTTGCAAAATTAGCTTGCAAGTATTTATCAATTTCAGCAACATCCGTACCATCCGAGCACCTTTTTTCAGCCGCAGGTCTTACCATTACTGAAAAGCGAACAAACCTTGATCATCAATTTGTTGGAACAATTTTGTATCTTAAAGCGGCACTAAAACTTTGGCCGATTTCACATGTTTTCAAATAGATAAATTTTTATTAAATTTTAATTTAATAAAAATTTAAATGTGGCAATAATAATAATAAAAAATAAAAGTATCATCTTTTGCGAATTGGTATAATAATTTGCAGGTAAAGATAATTTAAAGACCACCTGATTAAAT